CAAGTACTACGAAAAGCGGTTGCTGGACTTCTGCGCCGTCTTCAAGCCCGCCATGCCGAGATCCGTGGTGGTAAGCGGCGGTGCCCGCGCGGCCTGACTTCGGTCCGCTTGCGGTCTGGTGCCTAACGGAGCTGCGGGCTTTGCCCCCTCCGTGTCTCTTGTTCCCTCGCTTGCTTGTCTTATTCTTGAGAGCACGGGTATCTTTTAAGTTTTTTTGTCTTCCAGTGCTGCAGTTCGTGTTTCAGACCGCTTTTTAGCTCTGTTTTCTGGGCAGTGCAGCCGTTTCAAAAACAGAGAGTTATTTCTCAACTTCATCGGCTTCTTGCGGCTGTTATACTTGCGTGGATGACTTTTAACCGTTTTCTTTCCTCTCCCTTAAGCAAAGAGTAGAAACAAACCTAACAATATATGCATTGATGATACAATAAAATGGTCTCACTGTAGCTAAAGGAGGCAGCCCCAAAGTTGGGCTGTCTGGTCCAGTTGTTTCTCAAGCATTGGCACTTGTCTGGCCACAGAGCGAGCTGGTTCAAGCACCTGTACTGGCAGTAAACTAACCTACAAAGGGAAAAAAAAAATATATCTTTGAACTGACTTATCTTGAACGCAGAAGAGTGCGTTTCAGAAGAGAGTGGGGACTTACAGCTGAAGCAAGGGATGAAATTGTGCTTCTTTTGTCACTTAGCCGTTAAGATGTATAACCTGTACTGTCCCCTGTCAGTTCTTCTTTCTGGTGTACGTGGTGGATAACAAAGATGAAGAGTGTCTGTCTGAAGATGCATTTGACACATAGCAGTAGGCTGCTGTTACGTGCTCTGTGGAGCCAGGTCTTATATTTGAGCAGTGGCCCCTGCAGAGTGTGTGTGCTGCATCAGACTCCCCAAGAAGTGGTTTTGGAAAACACCTGTTTTCATGCCCATAGCGTTCAGATCAGCTTGGAAATTTGGCATTGACAGACTGAAGTATTTCTAGACACACAGAGAAGCATAAATGTTAAACGTGTTGGGAAATTTACTGATCTAAAAACTCGGATGTCTTGGCTGGGATTACTCACAACTTTCAGGATATATTTTCAGTCTTTCATTTTTAAATTTCATTTAAATAGCAGATTTTTCTCATGAGGATATTGTAGGCTTTTTGAGCATTGTTTTCCTAAATATGTCTAAAAATGGAGGAGAAGATAACCAAGTTGCCATTTTGTAAGGCTCTTGCAGGCACAAATGTATTAGACTTTGAAATACTTAATGACATGTCATTGTGTGCATCTTAGTGCCTTAGTGTATCCTGTATGTCTATAGTATATATTCAAACTTGCCTGTTCTGTTTTGTGATTTTATTTTATTAATTTTTCTTTTTTCTTAATCCATTTTTGCTTCTATACTTACTTTTCCTTCTGTTTTTTTTAATTTAGGGAACAGCTTGCATGTATTTCAAACGCTTTTACCTCAATAACTCGGTGATGGAGTATCATCCTCGGATAATAATGTGAGTTATCAATGCATCTTGAGTTATTCTATTGAGTGGAACACTGGAGATATAATCTTTGTATCTGTAAAGACCTGAAAAAATGAGAAGGAAACTTGAGAGCTTAAATATGAGTAAAGACAAAGTATGGTCACTTTCAGTTCCCATTTAGAAAAGTTTGCTGCGTTCAGAACATGGTGTTTTGAAGATACAAATTTTCTGAACAGAACTCTTGATAAAAAGATGGATGCTGCATATGTCAATTGTTTGCTTTTTTTCCCTTCCTCAAGGCTAACATGTGCATTTTTGGCCTGTAAAGTAGATGAATTTAATGTGTCCAGTGCACAGTTTGTTGGTAACCTTCGAGAAAGCCCTCTTGGACAGGAAAAAGCTCTTGAACAAATACTGGAATATGAACTACTGCTTATTCAGCAACTGAACTTCCATCTTATCGTCCACAATCCATACAGGCCATTTGAGGGATTTCTAATTGATTTGAAGGTAGTGTTGTTTTGTATGCTACATACTCTGTATACTAATGTAACATGAGTCTGTCGTGGGTTGTTACAAAACTTTATTTCCTTTTGTGCCTGTGATCTTAAAAGATCTAGTTTCTAAAGTGATAGGCAAGTATCTGCAAGGAAGTCAGTTTAGTTGTGGTCTTTAAGCACTTTAGATTATTTTTGGAATAAGAAGATGGCCTGCCACTTTTTCGCTTTACAGAATATTGTTGAATTCTGTGTTCTGAGCTCATGATCCAGAAGACAAGGAACAGCTACTTACTTTCCTAAATACTTACTTTTTAGACTCGCTACCCAATGCTGGAGAATCCTGAAGTTTTGAGGAAAACAGCTGATGACTTCCTCAGTCGAGTGGCTCTGACAGATGCGTATCTGCTCTTTACTCCCTCACAGATAGCTCTCACTGCCATATTATCTAGTGGTTCAAGAGCAGGAATTAATATGGAAAGGTAGTCTTTTCTTTTTCGTTAGAGGTATGATTTAAACAGTTTACTGATTCTTGTATAAAATTATTTTGTTCTATACATTCTTAACAATTAGAAGTGTGTATTTACTGATTGTTAACACTCTGATACGTTCTTTAAGTATGTTTCAAAGCTGAAGCAATACTGGTTTGTGTGGTTTTGTCCCCCCCCCCCCCCCCATTTTCAAAAAGTAGGTGGTAAACACAATTAGTTGGTTTCTGGTTTTATATTCCTTTGGAAGAAGTAAAAAAAAAAAAAATTCAGACTGGTGACTTTGCCCTAATTAGAACAGCATAGGATTTTCAGACTCATCTTGAGGATTAAAGTGAAGAAGGTAGAAATACAGTAGAAACTGACTGTATGAAACATCTAAAAAATCATTTAAAGAAGACAAAAAAAAGATTTTTAAGGTATCTAAGGTTACAGAGCCAAATGAAATTACACTGAACTGGCAGCTACTAGGCACGCGGAAATTAAGTGCTGTATTTGGCTGTTACAACTGTTCAATTTCCATGGAAACGGACTAACTATAAGGTGCCGTTTTATATCAGCCCCTTCTTTCCTTTCTGTGTTTAGCCACTGGTGTTTGCAAAGGCATTATCAAACACTTTGATATCATTGCTGAAATGCGTGGTTTGTTTGGTTTGGTTCTTTTTAAGGACAAAACATACTCTTTCCTTCAGAAAAACAACTGAGGTAGCTGTATCTGGAGTGTTTTAATCACATGATGCTGTGTGTGAGCATTTTGCATCTAGAGTGTAATGCCTGCAGGCACAAGGGCTGATGCTAAATGTAAGCAGTTCTTTTTAAAGCAGCTTTCCTTCCACCTGCTCTAAGTGAATCTCAAATCTCTTGCTCTAGAAGAACGAGACAGCGTGGGAGTATCCTCTACAGGGTTCACTGTCCTCTCAGAATAGTGTAAAAACATTCAGGTGCTTACTATAACTTGAAACTTGTTGATCTCATTCCTGAATTTATATTTTGTACTCTTTGTACAAAGAGTACAAAAATCTTTACAAAAAGAACTAGAATAATTTGTAGACAGAGTGTGAATCAAGGTATATGAACTCTATCTTTGCGTATTCATGAAGAACTCAAGTCTTTGTCACTTGTCTGCGCTGTACAGTTGCTGTAACCTTGTCACTTATTGTTTTACGTGAGTTTTATCTGCTGGACATGAGAGAAGGTAATGCTGCAGCTCGGGTCTTGTGGACCTGTGAGTGGGTGTGTCTGCAGAGGTGGGACGGAACGTGGAAGGCTTGAAGACCTGTCGCTCCCATGATGTCAGTGTATAGGTCAGTCTTGAAAAAGAGGTGCCACTGTGCTCTGGCTAATAGGTGGCTCCAAATAAATCTTCAGTTCTGCTATCAGCACAAGGTTAAATACTCTTAAATTTGAGCTCTACAAGAGCAGTGATGCTAACAGAGCAGCTATCAGCTTGTAGCAATCACCATCTTCATGGTGGTTGGTGCCTCAGTCTGGGAGCTGCAACTGATATAGCTGTGTGTGCCTATGAAGTAAGTTGGAAGTTAACACAGACTGAACAGATTGATATTCTTTGGAGTCTTTGGATTTTTGTAGTTCATCTGCAAGTGCACTTCCCGGGAAGGGATAAAACTACTTGGTTGTTGTGGATCTTGGTGAGGATTGTTGCTCATGTGTGTCGGGGTTTTACCCAGGTGGTGTGTGTATGTATTAAAGTTCTTACTAAAAGGAAGTTTGAATCTCTGAGGGAAGAGGAAAGGACCCACAGACTCTTACAATGCAGCATTTAGGATTTGCTTTCAGCTGCCAAAAGCAGCAGTCCCGTCTTGCAAGCTTTGCTGTCTGTTGGTCTGTCTGAAGGCTACTCTTCTGTAGTATTTGCTTTTCCAGCAGTCATACTGTGCAATAGCGTGATGTTAGTATGACATTTCATAGAATCTTAGACCTAAGTTGACTTAACTCAGTGAGGCTTACTTACAAATGTGTAATTCCGCAGTGTTGGAATTTTGGTTCTTTTCATGGCCGGGGAATACTTTAGTCATGTTCTTACAGAAGAAGAATGTTGCAAGTGAGACAGATTTGCTTTTTTATGACTTTATAGCACTTAAGTAACCAAAGTGCTCTTACTAAGTCTAATCATAAAGCTCTAGTAGATGTAAATAATAATACACATTTTATTAACCAATGGTAGCTGCCACAAATAATTATGACACTTTATTTTAAGAACTTATTCTTCCATGTCTCTTTGCAGTTATTTATCAGAAAGTCTTATGCTGAAAGAAAACAGAACATCCTTAGCCAAGCTACTGGATGGCATGAAATGTAAGTAAACATTGGAAAAATATGATAAACAGTATCTCTAAAGGAAGCAGAACAGCTTTTTCCAAACAATAAAAGCTTTAAGCAGAAAGGTGTGCTTTAAGTGGTTTTCTTTACCTCAGGGCATTCTTAAGGTAAGTAAAACATGGGCAGTAGAATGAACTATCTAGCATGTGGATGCACGGGGGAGAAAACACTCAGACTTCCCTATGATATGAACAAACAAAATTAAAAGGCAAAGGGCCTGATGCTCCTCAGAACATAAGTGCTATAGTCAATTAAGTGCTAGCAACTGACTCAAAAGTGCGAAATCTGTTTTGGGAACTAGATAATGGGTTTGTGAGTCAGGATGAAATGAGTCTTTTCAGTCACTGTGTCTTAAAAATTACAGCTTCAGGCAAAAGCCTGCACATAACTACTTCTACCACCAGAGGGTACCTTTTCTAAGATAAATGGTTAATGTTAAGTGATATGCCAGGATTTATACTTCGCTTCTGTTTTGCAGCCATAAAGATGTTTCAAAAGATATTTAGGTTTGCTAGTGTGAGAAATACATATATCTCTCTATATATAAAAATATCCAGAATGCTAGCAGGGTTTAGCTAAGATAATGGGGAATGTAGTACATTGATTATTACCTTTTTTTAATTAAAGGAAAAGGCTGGGATATGAAATTTCCAGTAAGTAATCGGTTATTTAATGCTTAAGCTAATGCATGCATTTAAAATGGGAGAGTGGTAGCATTAAAAATGCAGTCCTTTGACTAAGCTGACTTTAGTAGTGAATGCACCATACAAAGTCACCAGGGTCTACAAATTCAATTTAAATTGAATTTATAAAACTTAAGATGCTCTTCCCTTTCTCTTCCTGCTAACAAATCCAGTTTTCAGGTTTCCATTGCTGAGATGCAAAGGGAACACTGGAATCATTTACTCTTCGCTTGCACTATTCTGGAAGGTAGCTTTAGCCCAAAGGCAGCTCTTCGTAAACGTACGATGGCTGGAAGGAAATTTTGAAGCATCTTTAAATGACTAGTTTTACAGAGAACTGATGGTAGAGGAAAAAAATCTTGTTTCTTGCAGGGTAGCTATAAATTTAATTTGTGTTCTTAACAAGACTGAAAGCAGTCTTTTTTTTAAGACTGAGGTACAATGCTGAATGCAAAAAATACCTGTGTATTTTGAAGCTTGTTAGCAGAGTAATGTGAACTCTACATCATTATAATTTACCTTGAGGAAATCCAGAGTCAGCGATGCTAATGACTTCTTTCAGTGTAGTTCTTTGTGCTCAGCTTCTGCTGTACCGTGATGTTATTTAGAATTAAACCTCGGATGTAAGATGATAGTTAAAAGTCTTACATAAGTAATCTTCGATACTCTGAAGTTTGAGTGCTATGTGGGAAGGGAAGTTTTGTAAGCAAGCAGTTTGGGAGGAATTAATACTTTGAATGTCTAATGCTTGCTTTGACAAATATACAGACTTTACTTGGTAAGCTTTCTGTCTCAACTGTTTGCAATATGTTGCATGTTGCCTTGTAGTGTCTTTTGAGTCTGTTTAAGAACTAGATATGCTTTCAAAACCTTACAGAGGTGTGGATTTCAAAACTTATTAGATTCTGGTTTTTCTTTGTGTACCATTCTGATTTTTTTGGTGTACTTTCCCCCCCGCCCCCCCAGTAGAACCTGCTTGAAAATGTATACTGTGCTCCTGTTATGAGGGAAGGGAGGGTAAACTGTTGGCTCAAGCTTAAGTATGAGGGATGAGCAATAACATTAGCCATTCTACTGATTGGTAAGCTTGTGTAATTCACAAGGTGGAGCAGAAATTATTTCATTTGCTTAGAGCTGTGTTGTTGCCACTGTAGGCATGAAAAATCTCATAAAGAAATACGAACTGCCAAGGCCTGAAGAGGTTGCTGCTCTAAAACAGAAATTAGAGAAGTGTCACAGCTCGGAGCTTTCACTTAATACAAACCCGTAAGTAGATACTTACTCTTTGATGTGTTAAATTTCTGCCTTTTCTATTGCTACAGAAACATTAACTTTCTCTGATGTGTGTGAGTGACTGAAAATGTAAACATCTAAATGGACACACAAGGATGTCTGTTCACATGCTTACTATGTGAGTGTCTACTGGAAGCTGAGAACCAAGACTCCAAGTAGTGCTTTCAGTAACACGTAAATATGTTCTTCTGTGCTGATTTGCACTGCAGGCTGTAATACTGATTGTTTTGTAACACAGAACTGGAATCCTGGGTGACTTCTAAGGTCTGGCCACTTGATGTCAGTTGTAATGATAATCAAGGGCTTTAAAATCATGGGATTAAAACAAGAATTGTGCAAAGTGTTAATGTTTTTCTTAAGACTTATGTGGATGGCAAAGGACTTCCTGATTTTTATTTTCTGCCCTTTTCACTTTAGTGCCCAGTGTGAACTTCCAGCAAGCTGTTAGTTGAGGCTTCAGTAGTTTATGTCACAAATATGTCCATAATCTAATCTTGTGGTCAAATAAGGAAACTCTCATAAAAATACCTAAACATTTCACTTTTTTTTCTGGATGGGGGTTAGGAAGAAGAGGAAAGGTTATGAAGATGATGACTATGTTGCAAAGAAATCTAAAATGGATGAGGTCAGTAAACCTATTGTATGAGTACTTCTTTTTCCACTTGTAACTGCCAAGACAAAAGTGACACAGCTACTGAGACAAACTTCTGCATCTGTTAGTATTCCTTTATGTGTTGCTTAGACAGAATCTTTTTCAACTTTGTTTTTAAAAATGAGCCAGAGTCTCTACTAGTCTGTGTTTAGGAGTGTTCTTAAATACCCCAGTCTTTTGTGGGGAGGGGTAAGAACATGCAGGCCATCCTTCCTGCTGTTTCCTGTGCTGTGAAATTCTTTTGACAAACCGTGGAACAACCACAGAACAATGTAAAGCTTAGTACTTATAATTCCAGCATGTGAAACTCCATGATGGCAGTGAGGGGAAATAGCTGTGAAACTGAGATTTGGAATATTGTGATGAAAGGAGGTTTTGGAAGGCCAGGAACTGAACACTTGAGGAGAAATCCTAGCTCTACAGGTGGAAACTCACTCCTCAGAATGTGGATGAAATAAATGAGTATATGCTGAAATATGTTCAAGCAGGCTTTTTTCACGGAAGTTTTATGTCATGGTCTTTCTGCTGGCCAGCGTTTTCATTTACTTTATTTGACTTCTTGCACAAAGCAGAAGTCAGCTGCTGGACTAAATTTCTATGTCAGCCAATTTGCTAGCAAGGCTTGCATAAATTACAGATGGGTAGCTAGTACCTCAGGTTATAAGACCAGGTATAAATAAGGTGGAGGTAGACTGAGGAGGGTGACTCAACAAATGAAAACAGAATTAAGGTAATTCTTCAGATCTAATCTGAACACCTTTCAGAGCTTTCATTCGTAACATTGACTGGAAGTTGTAGAGAATATGTTCTGGTGGAGGAATAGCTGTGTGAAGAACCCTTTTTAACTGGACTTCTCTTGATACTGAAGACGTTGCACATCCTGATAGTCCAGGACACCTGCATTTAGAAGAACTTGCTAGCAGCTGAAGAGGGTCATCTGTCAAAATCTTAACATAAAATGCAGGATGTGTGGGGTTTTATAATTCAAGGAGTCTTGCTATTATAAATTATCATAGTAGGTTGATGCTATAATGTCAAACTAGAATCTAAAAAATGATTTGAAGAAGATTATGTAAAACCAGCATTGAAAGTATGTTCTAACAAAATGTGGAACCTCAGGCATGTTTTATGATAACTATTTAATGCGGTAAAAACTTTGACTACTGTTTACTTCAAATGCCAGTCTTAAAAAGCGTATTGAAACTGGCAACTCCGTAAAACTAGGACTTTCATAACTTTTCACTTTCTCACAAAATGACTTAGAGAACAGCTCCACCTAACCTCTGGAGACTCACTTCTTCCTCCCTGCCCAGTTTAATTTGAAGGGGGTCTTATTTTAGTTATGCTACTGTCGTTTGAGGCAGTTTTGATTTTGGCGTTTCTCATTAATTTATATTCACAATTCTTTTTCCAAAGGAATAAACTAATTGCATAAATTCACATACTCTACAGCATTTCACAATAAGCTCTTGCACAGTTCTAACAGCTCTTGAAGCTTAGGCTCTTTAAATACTCATGTATATGAACTGCCAAGGATTTGTACTTGCATAGTCTCATTTCTGAGTAATTATCACATGCAAGAGCAGACCTGAGCTGGCCAGGACATAAAGGAAAAAGTGTGCTTCGCTTTTGGAAGGCTTGTAGTATGTGCGTACTGCTCAAACCTTGAGACCTCACTAATCCTACAGCTAGCTGATATTAACAATATTTATAGCTGTAAGTAATTAGGCTGTAATACAGAAGTGCACAATCTGTTCTAATCTACTTGTAAGATTTTGTTTCTTGATTTCATAGCTGATGTTAATACCCACAGCAAGGCCAGAACTGGTATGGAGAGCTCATCAATTTGAAATGACAGAAGAAACACACAGGGTACTGGTTGAGCACAGATGACTCAGCTGCCAAAGTAATGAAGCCATAAAAAGCACAAGGTATTAGTAAAAGGCTGCAATATGAGCTCTTGTGGAAATCTCCACATAGCTGTCCATAATGAAGAAGCATGAGCTAAACCTCAAACAGCTGCTGAAAAGGGGCTGCTAAAATGACTGGACCTCCATGATTTTAAGACTAGGCATGGATAACTAGCTTTAAGGTTAAAGGGCTTAGTCACCACTATTTAAAGTATTTTTTAGCCTTCTATTCATGGAATTCTTCTGTTAGGTACTAAATCCTGGTCATGAAAGAGCATAGGGTTTTTTTTGGTGTGGGTTTTGTGTACGTATGTGAGGTTTTTTTGGTGTTCTTGATGAGCATTATAGCATGCTTGCAGAAGCGAGAAGTAGGGCTTACTCCCAGGAGGCTTTCAATCCCGTGTTCTGGGATTAGCCGCTGTTAGCTGAAAAGAAAATCTTCCCTGTGAGGTATTTACGTGATTATTTCCATTTTCTTCCCTGCACGAGACAATGGGGCACACTGGGTAATATTGCTTGGGCACAGGGCAGGCAAGAACCATTCTAAATGAACCCAGGAATCAAAACTTCACTGGAGTCTCACAACAGACTAGGGCACGCTTAAAGAAACTCCTTTAACTGTGCTCAAGTTTAGCAGTGGGAGCAAGTTTGAGCAGAAATCCAGATCGGGGGAACCTAAGGAAGGGAAATACCCTTTCACATTGTTCAGCAGTTGTTGGCCATGAGCTTAGGTTAGGCACGACATGAGAATCTGAAAGGGAACTTAACAAACATGCATTTCGTCAAGTTAACTTCTGTGCAGGCTCTGCATGAATTCTTATTTCCAGTTTGAGCTAGCCTTGTAAGTTAACCAGGACTGAAAATTGCTGCGTGGTTGTCAGAAGTAGAGTGGAGTGTGCAAGATAAGCGTGGTCAAGTGTCCCAGCAGAAATGTGTATCTATCTGTCAAGTAACGTGGACATGACAAACCACTAAGCACTACATTTAACATCAGTTTAAACTTGCTATTTTAAGTCTATTGCTGCTAGCACAGTTCAGAGATGTGAAGTTAGATCTGTGTTACTTAATTCTCTTTCACTGGCCTACGTAGTAGAAGTTTCTGTGACAGCCTGTGCAGTAGTACCACGTACCTACCACCTGTTGCCTGGCCCACCTTACTATAAAACCCACCAAATTCACACGTGGCTCAAGGCATGGCTTTTCTCCCTTCCATTAGGAAGAGTGGACTGATGATGATCTTGTGGACTCCGTCTAACCTTGAAGGAAGATGGAATCCTGCCACCGCAGAAACTACTGTTTGGTGTCAAGTGTGAACCTGCCTGCCACAGGTTCCTTACTCTGTGTCATGAGGTATTTATTCTGTCAATTTTTAGTATCTTTGCAATAAAGCATTTGACTTTGCAAAAATAATTAGTTGTAGTTCCATTAAACCTTCATCCATTAAAGGTCAAGCATGAGTAAGAAGTGTGTGCTTTAAGAAATTTGTCACTCGGGGAAGAGTTTTGGTTCAGGAACGGTTTGAGATGTGACTTTAGCTACTGCCACGCTGTAATCCTGGGCATTTAGTGAACTGGATAAATGCAAGCAGGAGACAGATCTGGTAACAGACCCGTATGTGCTTTAGAGCAGAATGTCCTCCCCTCTTCCCAAGCTTGTCATTGAAGCAGCTAAAAGAGTACAGCCGTGCCCATGACACTTGGTACATTTGGGAAGCTCTTCTCAAATGTACTAAGAGGCTGCACAACATATTTTACAGTATGTAAAGTAATAATAACACTTTTGTGACTTACCCTGCAGCTGTCATCTCAGATTAGGTTGCTGTGACTAATTTACCTAGGGACAACTGAGAAGAATATTTAAAAATCTAAGTAGTTAGAGATCTTCCAAATCTAGGGCAAAATCTACTTCCTTTTCATACACTGTTTTAGAATATAAGCAGTTCTAAATGCAACTTTGGGAGTTTCCTAGTTTCATCACTGCATTTTGTATGTAATAGGTAAATAGCCAGCTAAATCTGTTCTCCAGTGTTTATATTTTTACCAGTTATGCTGCCTATACCCAGCCAGCTAAATCTACAAGATAATCCACTTTATGCACTCTGTGTTTGACAAATTCTTCTCCACCAGGGTCACTGGCTGACTAGGCAGGGAAGAAAAGCCGCTATTGCAATTTCACTTCAGAAAGCCTGACACCATTTACACAAGACCTTCATAATCAAGTGAAAGAAGCATGACTTGACTTAACCCCGTTTCAGTTAAGTTGTTTACTTAGGTTCTGAACTGGTTGGAAGCTGTAAGCAGAGCATTCAGCAGTAGTTCATCACACAAAAAAATGTTACAAACTGGAACCGTGACTTATGTGATGTAACGGCATACAGAGAGAGGACTTAAGTAGGGCACAAAAAAGGATTAATTACCTTTTCCTCTGGGATGCAGTTTAATACAGGCTTGGCAGCAATAGGGAAAGGAGTGGTTTTATGGGATGATGTTAAAAAAGAACTCCATAGTACCAAGGTCTTGCAAACAGATATGTCTTTACTAGGCTGTATTAAGAGCATCGCCTCTGTCTACTAAGCGTCGTACTCGTGATGCCTGGGAGCTCTCAGCTACAGCAGCGGGCACCCACCTCTCAAGCTGGAGAGGCCAGGGCAGCACTGCAAACCTAGAAGACGTGCACTAATACAACAGCAAAGACCCAAAGATGAAGTCTGCACAGTTTAGTGTGACAGTGGATGGAAAAAGCAGTTCTAATAGACAGGAGATACACCATTAGAACAACCGCACAGTAACAACCCTGTTCATATCACACAATTATTTATGTGATTAACTCATTAGTCTTGTCAGTCAGTCTCAGCATCCTTTTATTCCTTATTAGATCACTGCCTAGAAAAGCTACAAACAGTGATGCTGAAATACCCCTGAATCAACTGCATATTCTACTTTCAGGTTTTTTTAACGGTTTTAACATCTACTTTCTCACCCCGTGAGAGATACGTACAAAATTAAGGCATATGGAGGATTCATGCTAAAAAAGTGACACCACACAAAAGTTTCAAAGTATATCATGTGTGCAGACACTGTAAAAAATTTCCACAGCAGCCAAAGTTAGGCAGTTTCCATAAAGAGTTATCTGCAGCTTGATTTATTTTAAAAACTTAATTTTCACTTATAAAAATAATATTTATGGTAGGCTTACAGTACACAAAAGACCAACCAATACATATTTTATAAAATGGTTTAATGAATGCATGCATGTCTGATACAATGATCAATAAATTTACTGAATTCAAATTATTTACTGTTGTAAACATTTTACAAAAGCATTGTGATTTATCTGGATATACAGTTCTTGATGGAAGAACTATTCAGACTGAATCAGCGGCACATCAAAAAATAAAGCTGACAAGACCCATTCTGCATATTCTCTTTCAACATGATTCCAGCAAGAGAAACAGCATGGTATAAAAAGTGTACAGTAAGGATTGTTCCTACCATAACATCAAATTCTGGAAACTGTAAATACAAGTTAAAGTGGTTGAAACAGTCAAAAGTCGTAATTATTGTAACCAGTCAGAAATTACAGTAAGAAATGTTATCCAGTTGTATGTAGCTGTCAAAACAACACATTTCTTTTCGTGTCAGTTGATAATTCTTTTCCAACAAGACACCAAAACTTTGGCAATCAGAGGTGCTGAAAATAATTTTCAGAAGTTCAAGACACAGTCACAGCATTTTCTTTGCGGAAGGTGAACTGTACACCAAGGCTCAGAGGTTGTGAAAACTGTTTCCAAGTGGAAAAAGGTGCAAACGTCCTGCACAGATAGCTTAAAAAGCTGCTGGTACAATCATTCACCAACAGAATCTTTGTTTTTCTTTTTGCATAGTTCACACATCACTGGGAATGTGACAGGGTGTGCTATTTTTGGCAAGAGCAAGAAGAAGGTGATACTGGTGTGAGTTGCCGTGTTGGGCATGCTGGATCCATGCAGAATTCAGGTAGAGGGCTGCTACCTGATGTTATTAGACACTGAATACTGATTTTGTTTTTGTTGAAGCAGTTCAGTAATAGCCAAAAGCTTCTTAAGAACATGCTGTAGAAAGAGAGTCAGTAAAACCATACATTAGCAACTGGAAACAGAACAGTCGTCCTGCTTGAGAAGCATTTTCAGCATTAGCCTGTCAGACCTGCTATGAGGTAGTTTAAAATATATTAAAACAAAAAAAAAAGGAAGGGAAACAGCCGATTCTGTAGTCAATAAGACTTCCCTTTTGAAGTAAAGGGAAGTCTAAAACAGCATTATGAACTTTGCCTCTCTTTGCCATGGATCTTGTTGCTGCTTTGTGGTTTCACAGGGAGGCTAAGGAAGCGTACTGCTGACACACTGTTGAGGATTGCTAGAAGAGTTTGCCGTGTTTGTTTACAAATGTACTGGCAAATTAGGAAGCAGAAGTGAGGTATGAGTAGAAAGCTAACGAAAGTAAATTTAGTTCTCAACTTAAAAAAAACGAAGATCCTAAAACTAACGACCTGGAGAGCCTGTCAGGAGGCAGTAATTTTGTGGGTTTAGGCTTCCTCTAGAAACTAAAACTTCCTCTGGAAACTTTGAAAAAACCTCTTCGGTTTTGTTGCATGAAGAAACAAAACTATGGACTAAGTATTTGCCTTTAGAGCTAACAACCTCCTGGCGAAACGCGCGTATTTTAAAATCAGTCATACTGCGAGCCAGAAATAGGACAAAAGCATCCTGATACGGAGGAGCAGCTGAAGGCATACTGTCACTACCTGTGGTTTGTCTGTTAACCTGTGCCGCTCACCTGCATTACACCTCGCTCGTTACTGAGCGTCCGGAGTTCATCCGAGTGTGCCACACATATCTCATGCAGGGCCGCCAGATCACGAGAGAGGTCAGTTCTAGAGTGCTCTGTAGTGTCTGGAAGCTCAGGAACGTTCTTCAACAAAAAAGACGAGAGCGGATTTAGGGTGCCGAGTACCCAGGCCCACAGGAAGATAAGCGACAGCTCTACCGCTCTGCCAACACAACTCCTCTATACCGCAAGCAAGTCCCGCGATGTTAGTCTTCCCAGCTAAGCCTCCAGTCCATCCTCCTATCACGAATTACCTCCGCAAGCATGCGTTTTATGAGTATACTGCAATTTCTACTCCTGCTAGAAAGGGTTCTTACTACAAGATCTGGCACTGCTACACTACCATTGAGCTGACCAGAAAGCTACTGCATAGAGAGACTCATCTTACAACCTTCCCCTAAATGAGGGGGAATCCGTCCATCGGGTGCTTTTTTCCCCATCTAAAGGAGAGAGCAGCAGCAACAAAAATTCAGCAAAACCTGTAACTATCAAGTAACGCATTACACTGGTCATAAAACAATAATGTTGTAATTAAAACAGTAGACTGATCCAACAGTTATTTTCAAAACAAGTTTCCAGAGACCTCATGCAAAATCTGTCATATAAAGAAAACTGGCGTATCATAATATGCAGAAGTTGCAATTTAACCAGAAAAATGTGACATGCGGCAACCGACCCGAACGCCATGCTCATTTTTATATCTTATCAAAATATTCTGAGATGTCTTCTAGGTCACTTTCAAGGGATCGATTCAGGAAGCTCGGCACATTTTTTTCATCTTGTTTTTTAAAATGAATTCTTCATTTAAAAATACACATCTATAACATGAGGTCCTAACTCCTGTTGCAGCTAACATACACAAAACAGTAACCATTTAAAAGAATACAGTAACTGCAGCTCACTTTCAAACTACAATACCTCGAATGCGTGCAGTGACACAGGTGGTAATGCATAACTGAAATTCAACCTAATATTTTTTAAAGTGAAAAATAATTTCAATCTCTGGTCAAAACCATATGACAAATTATATATAAGAATTTCTGTTTTAAAATGTAGTTTTAAAGATTTGTATTTTTGGCCAAAATTTCTAATCCTCATAGCTATAAAATCTATTTGAGCTTCTCACATCTACAGAGGCACTAAATGAATAAAGTCTAAGATGACATTTTTAATTGTCACGGTTTTAATTCCGGACAACAGGCCAGCAATCTGCAGTTTCTAAACGTGCGTAAGCACCATTTATTCAGTTACAAGGATTCAACATTGTGTGGAAGCTGATGCATTTTTGAGTTAGTTAATAAGCGTAAAGAATTTTCATTTGCAATGGTGCTATGTAAGTTCCAGTAAAGATTTTTTTAACCACTCACCCCAAGTTCATCCAAGAACATGATCATGCGATGTTTGTTGCTCTTGATGAATGGATTTACCCCTTCCATATATGGCTCCTAGTAATTTTTAAAAGTATTCATTAGAAGAAATCAATGCCAAGATAATTGTCATACCTGAAGTAAACACAGTGCAGCCAGACAAACGACATTGCAAGAC